ACTGTTAGCATGCTTGAAACTAAAGGCTTGAAGGCAATTTCCACTGGAGATAGAGCTGAATAGACTGATTTCAGACTTGAGAAAGCAGACAATGACCGGACAGAGCACAGGCAGACTGGAGGGAAGTAGAGCAGACTAGTGTCAGGTGGTGATGGGACATCTAAAGCCAGGGTTTGAAAAAAAAGGGGGGGTGTTAAATCAAGCCCCGCTTTTGGGGGGACTTGTCTGGGTAAAAAACGATGCCTTGCGGTACTTTGACACATCTCTGCTTCGTTTCCCGAAGTTTGAAAGTTGTTGCTTTGTGGGTTGTTGTAGGTAGGTTTTTTTATAGCAGGATTATTATACAGGATTTTTGGAGAGGGTGTCGAAAAGGGCATTAATATAGATGGATGGATATATATATATATATATAAATATAGAGAAACAGGTTATTGCACAGGGTAACAAATAGTAATTGCACATTATACATTGCACAAGTGATTGTCGTTATAGTGTTGAAGGATCTCAAGAAAGTCATCGAAAAATATAATTTAGAATTCTAGTTTTTCTGCAAATAGTTCACCAATACAAAACATACAGTCCATCTTCTTTGCAAACAACTTCTTTTAAACATAACCGAAGGATTATTTTTAGGAGCAATTCTTTTCAGAAATAAAAAGTAATGACACGTGTAACAAAAAACTTTATTTTGACAATAATACACATATTGCTTTTTTTTCTGACTGTTTAAATATGTAGGCTGTCATTTGGTCTGTGCTGCTGTAGATGCTGATGGTGAGAAATAAATGTTTACCGGTAATCCTGATTGCCAATGTTGTGGACAGGTTAAACTGGATAGGCTAAAAGTAATCCAGTTAGGTTGTTTGCTTTGTGGTACAGGCCTCTGCACATGACTTTAAAAAAATGTTATTTGTAAAAATTGGTGTATCCTTCATTGCATAGAACTTGTACTTTATGTGTTATTATAATTTCTATGTGAAACAGAGTTTATATCATGAACATTATTTGGATATCATTTACTTAGCTTTGAATCCATAAATTGGCTGTGAAAGACAGGCAATATTTTCAGGGTCTTTTTCACTTCTGACCCAGATGACTAGGGACAGGAGCCAGTGGTCATTAAAATGAACCGTTCACTCGGAATCAATGACAAAAAAAAAAGCTTGTTTTGACAGCTGATTTCAGATGCTGTCAAATGTGAAAGCTAAAAAGCTGTCAGCTGTTTTTGCTTTCATGATTTTATTTGCTTTACAAGAAAAACAGTGACATTAACAGTTTATATGTTAACCCTGTAATGCAGCAGTTAATTCGTAATGAGTTAGAAAAGTTACATTACACACTGAAATTTATCATACTTGGAGAGATATAAACTGTACAGTTAAGAACAAGAAGTGAATGGATTTAACTAAGCCCTGTTGTGCTATGCAGGCTGGGTTTTTTGGATACCCTGGATTCTGGATTCTCTCCTTAAATGGAGATGGCGAGCCAACCGTGTGAACATCTGGATTTGGACTGAAGAGAAGGATTTGGACTGAAGAGGACTTTCTTTTTTTGCATTCATCGTCCTGTCGGAGTGGTAGGACTAAAAAGAAAAACTCAGAGATAAAAAGGGAAAACCTTTTTCTTTTTCCGTTGGGAAACAAGACATTTTATTTCTTTTTTTTTTTTTAAAGGGTGCATCCAATTTAAAGAGACTACAATTGAAAAAAACAAACTGAAGGCCGTCCAAATTTGTAAAACTGTTATTTTTTCATATATGTTAATACACTTACTTCACAAAAAATTACCTGTGTGTTTTCCTCTTTCTAAAATGGTGTCTTACTGTTTTTTCCCTCATCATCACTCTTACGAATCTAGAACATTCTGGTCCAGTGTCAGGTTACTTTGATCTGTGCAGTTAAGATTATGTTGTTGAACATGGTTTTATACTGTATCTATTGATGCAATGTTTGGCTTGAAGCAATAAAAATTTTGTATTAACATAATTTTTTGTGTGTTGAATGATTGGTAGTGAAGACGATTGGTAGGACTAAAAAAACTGAGTTGATAGAACTCAACTTGCAGATAACACTACAAAATCTGAGTTTGTAGAACTCAAAATCTATATGTCAAACTCATAAAACAAAGTTGATAGAACTCAGAACTTAAAGGTGAAACTCAGAAACCTAAGTTGGTAGAACTCAAAATTTCTATGTAACACTCCAAAAACCTAAGTTGGCAGAACTCAAAAATCTTTGTAAACTCAACCACAGTGAATTTAAGTAAGGAAAACTCAAAAAACCAAATGCATCACGTTGCCTAGAAAATTTAAGTTCTGTCAACCTCTATTTTTTTTTCAGTGCATGAAATTCAGTGGGAGAGCATGAAACGGAAAAAAAACAAAACAAAAAATAAACTTCTTTTTCAATTTCGCTGCATAAAGATCCTCATTATTCCGATACTTGCAGAGAGTCAGTTGACACAAAGCAAACTTTGTTTACTGCCAAAACATGAACCCCACTGAATGATTTTTAAACACCTATTTTCTCCTTTTCCCTCTTTTTCTTTTTTTCCATCCTGACCTCTTTGATGTTGGACCTTCTTGAGTGGATCTTGAAATTCAGGTAAAGATAATCATTGTGTTGTGGTGCACTGTGAACTGTGTTTTTGTGTGTACATTGTATGTTAGCATTGGCTAATTTTTATGAAATTGCAGTCTGATAAATAGGATGAAAAGATATTATTGTTTAACGTGTCAATAGAGCAGCTAGTCCTTGGTTGTTCTCAATGGTGTTTTACATAAAGCATATTATTTTAACCTTTCCTGAAATATAATACACATACCATATATGCTACAAGGCACTTGTATCATAACAGAATGACACACCTGAAGGCTGCCTTGCTTTTATTTTTCACTGTTTTTTTTTTAGGTTTTTTAATGTGGAACATATCTTAGCAGGAGTTTATTTTCTACTGTGTTGATCTATTTTAGACTTTCTGTATACTATTGTACAATGTGATGAGGTTACTTGATAGGTTCGTTCTATTGTACTGTGATTCAATCAGTAATGTTTGTCAGATAACAAAAAGAAAAAAAAAAACATTTTAAAGGAAAATGTCAATGCTACCACCTGGACCTCCATTTTCTTAGAATCTTTGCTCATGGGAAATAAAGGCAGCATCTGTTTGTCGTTATTTTTATCTAAGCTTTTTTTCCAAACTCCTCTCTGCTTTATCATGGTGTCACTAGATACAACTCGGTAGCTTTGTTTGCATACACAAAATTTCACGATTGGATTATGTGTTTGGAGGAAAAAAAATGACCTGATTGTATTGTTATTTAGGACATACAGTAAGTAAAAATGAATAAGATGGACTACTCTGTTGGCATCTAGCCTAAGGCATAAACACATTATGTTGAAAGGGGTTGCACATGTCCACTCAGGAATGTTTGCCTTATTCAAGTGTTTACATCTGTGCTGATCAGATTGTACACAGTCAAAAAATCAACCCTCTAAATCAGATTAGAGTTTTTTTTCAGTCCTACTGAATCCAAACGGAATATTTCAACTGCAATATTTTAATGACACGTAATTAGTCTTATCAGAGCTTTATTCTAATTACTTAATTTTATTTAAACACATGTATTTAGAGCATATTGAAAGGATATTGTGATGTTTGAATACAGTAGATGGGTGTATGTAAAATAGATATGTTCAAATAGGGATATTAAGCTTTATCTCAAAATTTCTCTATTCTTTTCTCCCTTTGGTTAAATTTGAAAGCTTACTAATAAATCACTGCTCTGGCCAGTTTCTGCATTTTCTCAAAATAAATAATCGTAAAACAGTTTGTACTAGAAGTATTTTGTTTTATTTTATTTTTGGTGTACATAAAAATTGTTTCTATGGAGGTGCGACTGAAAGTTCAGCCCCATCTAATGTGACTCCTCATTCCAGAGGCTTTTAATTTTCCAGCAAATACGTTATCTTTTTATTTTTCCCAGTTGAAAATAACTTGAAGGTATTATTGCTTTCACCATGTTGTTGAGGGCCAATATCAATGTCTTGCATGGGGCCCCAAATTCCTGGCAGCCCCCCTGCTGAATGGGAAGCAAAATGTCTTCAAACTTGGAAACAAAGTCCACTGGATTGTTATGTTACTTTTTTGGAAGCTGCATACAGGTTGGGTCACTGTTGTTCTTACAATAAAAATATTCAATCTTTGTTGGTTTTGATTAGAGGTCTGATTCACATGGTCTAGGAACTTTTCTTGACCCACAAGCAGTAAACTGCAAGGAAGACACAGCAAAAAATTAAATAGTTTATTTCCAAGAGTTATTTGTGGAGGATGGAGAGGACCAGGTTCGGACTTCTGGGTTCTTGGAAATCTAGAACGGAGAACAGAATCAGCGCTGAGTTTGAACAACGAAGAGTCTTGCAGATGAACGACTTCAATAGCATAAGGTGAAAAGATGCAGATATGGCTAAGAGGGGAATATTGAGGTCCTAAGTGTACCTTGGAATTCAGACGGGCAATGGAGCTCTGATGGAATTGCAGATGCAGGAGTTGATGGTGGAGACTCACAGGTGTGCCACTGTTAGGAATCCAGTCTGTGTGGGTTGCGTTTTGGTGTTTTTCTCTCCCTCCCCCACAAGGTGGTGCCCTGTCCTCGTTGGTCCTCCTGCACACCTGCGGCTGGTTGGCTCATCAATGGGGAGTATTTGAGCAGCGGACTGTCACTACCTCGACGCCAGAGTGTTTGCCAGTTTTGGGTACTCTAGCCAAGCTTAGTTTAGCTGAGTCTAACTGAGTCTTTGTTTCTCTGAGTTCTAACGTTGTTTTTGTCTTTTGCCTTTCGGCAGGAAGTCATCCTGCATACTGGATTATTGGCCTTCTCCCCCCTGGAAGGATTTGTTTGAGCTTCACACTGAGCAGGGGATTTATCTCCACACTACCCGTTCAAGTACTCTTGGAATTCTAAGTGGCAGTCTGCTCCGTTGCTCCTCAGGAACCAGCCAAAACAAAACCTGTCCGCCCTCCAACGAGCCACTCTATCTCTGGAAAAACCCACACCGACTGGATACTGGGAAGAAACCTTTCTCCGCAAACGTGAGTCCAGTTTACCTCGGTTTTTGCAAGACGTCGTTCAAAGTTCCCACGGACCCTGAACTAACCTCTGTGAACTTCCCCTCTTACTTCCAGTTCCGGTTCACCAGCCCTCTGAGTTCACCTGAATCCAACCCATTTGGACTCCTAATAAACCTGTTAAACTTTTACTCTGGTTTCTCTGAGTGGTTTCCTGCATGTGGGTCAGATCTCTTCATTCCCCATGGGAAACTGCACCTTTCAGCAGAGATCCTCAGGAAAGAGAAGCTTGCTCATACTGAAACAAAAACTATACATCAGGATTCTGACACTGATCCCAATTTCCCGGAGAACCTCCACTGATGATTAAATCTATCAGTTGGGGAGAACTTTAACTTGTCCAAGGTTTAGCTCGAAAAAAAAAAAAAGCTTGTGAGGGGAACATTAATTAAAAACCCTGACATCTAAAGGTCAGAAACTTGTTGCTCTGCGTTAAGAGTAAAGACAGCAGAGTGGATGAACTCTGTTAAAGGATTTGACCTTTAATTCTGGCTACATAAAGTGAGCTGGACTTGTTTTTCTCTACACACAGGTTCTGGATCGTAAATTATCAATAGCCTGTAATGAAAGGTGGGATTGTGGTCTGTTGAAGGTATTCAGACTTCTAAATGTGTGTGGGTTTTTTTCTGTCTCCTGTAAGGATAAACTATTGGACTTATATTCTTCATTTTAACATGCACAATGTTTTTCAAAAAAGAAAACATGCAGTGGAAATTTGCACTTCTCTATACTTGTCTAGTCTCAGTAAAATATATATAATATATGTTTTATATCAGTTTAGAATAAGGATCGGAGGGGATTTATGATACATCATAAACAATAGACACTCTTGAAGCGTCCTTGGTTATCTAGGTGGTATCAGCTGTTATCTTTTCAAAAGTGGCTTGAAATACTCGGCATGTCAGATCTAAAGCAAACTGATGATTTTGAAAGTAATTCAAAAGTAGTCTGAGGTAAAAATCGTGACCACCATCAGAAGAAAGATGATTAGATAAAAAATAGGGGAAAAATGTTGGCCAGAAGGCGAGCAGGACAATATTTATTCTGTAGAAGAATTGATTCATCCTTACATATGCTATAAGGTAAAGTATACTATGCTGTTTTTTTGTTTTGTTTTTTTCTCTCTGGCAAAAGCAGGCTTGAGGAAAACACAGAGTAGCATTATTATTATACCATGAGCATCCATTGATTTAACTTTAAGATTAATTCCGTTTGTTACCAACTTAATGCTCAGATCTTGGCAACTTTAAACTACTGTATGTTTTAAAATAACTTAATTTCAAACATTGTACGGTTTTCTTTTTGCAAGGTCTTAGTCTGAATGGTCTGAAAGCTGTTTCCTTACACATGGGCACACTATGATTGCTAAAACCTTTGGTTAGACTTATTTAGGTTTATTTTATTCATGTTGCATTTGTGGCTATAACCAAAAAGTTGTCCATTAGAATCTATTTACTTTGCTAATGTAATAAGTGAACAATTCCTATGGATGTTTTTGCCATCCAACAAAGTTGTTCTTTTAAAGTCTATGGTCGCTATGTCTAATTTGGTTCATTCTTTTGAAGAAATGTTGAAAAAAAAACATGGGGCAGTGGCGGCCTAGCGTTAAGGGCAAAGAGCTTGAAATCCAGAGGTTCTGAGTTTGAGCACCACTCCCACACACTGCCTCTCTGGCTTTCTGAGCAAGACCCTTAACCCCATTGTGCTCCCGGGCTCCGCACAATGGCTGCCCACTGCACCTTAGGGGGATAGGTTAAATGCAGAGGTTTCATTTCGTTGCTCTGTAGTTGTGACAGTGTAGTGACAATTAAAGCTGGGAAAAAAGAAAAAAGTGTTGACAAACTGTCACAGCATCTCTTGAAGGACAAGCAGGGAGTGATGGCCTTAGGGGCATTGTGCTTCAGCATTTGGAAGACAATTCTTTCACAGAAACTAACCAATTAGGAATTGATGCAGTGATTATGAATTAGGGTGTCCAGATTTGGGTTTCTCAAAGCGAGATAACTTTTTTATGGGGGGAGGGAAGCATGGTAAGGCAAAAATATACAAAGGCTTGAAATGGAATAAAATGAGTGTGTCCCATCTGGCTAAAGTAGTCGACCAAATTTGACATAGATTTGGAGCCAGTGGTTCACATCACCTGGAAGCTATTGAAGAAATATCAATTATTTTTCTAATAAAAATTTTCTAAGATATTACAAATACTTAAAATGGAATAAAAATTAGTGGGCTAATTTAGTAAAACAATTTCACAAAGAATTTTGATTCTGTGGGCCACATGACCTGGAACTTTTGCCTTTAAAAATATCTTAAAATTGATAATAGGTTAAAAAATGAATAAAAGCTATATTAGTTTCATCTTAGGTGGTCATAAGATGAGAAATTTATTAATTTTTATTTCTCATGAGAGATTGGTTCAAAGATTTGTTGACAGTTCCTAACTGCATCACCGTGTGTGGGAGGAGGGAGCAGCTGAGAGACGTTGGCCGACATCGGAGTCCCTCAGTCGGATGAACCGTTTTCTGGATCCTGCTGACTCCGTGGAGCTTGAATGACCAATATCCAACTTCAAACCAACTTCACCGCAGTGCTGAAGGCTTGGTTCTGCTGCACTGTAGTCAACCAACATCCTGGACTGTTCTGAAATTCCCCCCCGGACATTTTTTTTAGGTATGAAAAGTAGGACATGTCCGGGAAAAAGAGGATGCTTGGTCACCCTATTATGAATGCTGACTATAAGCTACATCACAGCACAACTAGTCAGGTCCATTAGAAGTGACTGGTTACCAGTGTAAAAATAAAGTGAAGTACATACAGAGCATATTTGAACATAGCAGGAAAATAAACGCAGGTTCTAGGATATGTAATGCTTTTTTAAGAGCTTGGTCTTTGAAGATAAACATGGATTGCAGACTATTTTGTAGAACATTTCACCAAAGTGAAACCACACATGAAGAGTCAGGGTTTTCCCTAAACCCTTAGTAATAAAACGTCATACATAAAACGTCATACAAAGTGGAATCTTATGGCAACAAACATAATGGTTTAGTTGGGGTATTATCTAGCTTTGGGACCAGATGGGCCAGCAAGTTCTAGACCATTTGCAGGGGCCTCAAAGGACAATTGCTGTGGTATGATTTAATCAATTCTCTTTAAAGGAATAGTACACCCAAAACATGATTAGTCTTCATTTTCTACTCACCCCCATGCTGAACAACACTCTGGAGTACTTTTTTGATATCTCAAATGCATCTGGAGATCTGGGAGGCTTCTTGCTGTCTGCTGACATTCAAATAATGGAGGTCTATGGTGACCGAGACAGAAAGGTCCATAAAAGTCCACAAAAAACGTGTCAATATTCCTCCATACATCTCGTCCAATGTATTCCAAGTGTCCTGAGTGGGTAGCGTCCAGAATTTACTCGAAACAAAGTCATTTAGAATGTTTTTAGAGCATAAACAGTAATGTATAGGATTTCCTGAAACTCACGACGCTACGGAAGCCGGCAGACCAAACCAGATGAAAGTGCGCATTCAGCGTCTGCTCTGCCAATAATGCAAGCGTAGAAGAAGAAATGTGCTGTTTACCTGTGCAAAGAAAGAAACAACGAAAGAAAAATGTCTGAGGACTTCAGTGTTGAGGAAGAGCATGAGTTCTTTGCCGAGCTGAATGCGCTGGTTTGGTGTGCCAGCTTCCGTAGCGTCGTGAGCGTGCATGTGCGCGCTTTCAGGGAATCCTATACACTACTGTTTATGCTCTAAAAACATTCTAAATGACTTAGTTTCGAGTAAATTCTGGATGCTACCCACTCAGGACACTTGGAATACATTGGACGAGCAGTATGGAGGAATATTGACACGTTTTTTGTGGACTTTTACGGACCTTTCTGTCTCGGTCACCATAGACCTCCATTATTTGAATGTCAGCAGACAGCAAGAAGCCTCCCAGATCTCCAGATGCATTTGAGATATCAAAAAAGTACTCCAGAGTGTTGTTCAGCATGGGGGTGAGTAGAAAATGAAGGCTAATCATGTTTTTGGTGTACTGTTCCTTTAAGATAAAAAAAAACCTCATAAACATAAAATACAGTAAACTGTAAAATTTTTCCTTTAAACCTATAATTTATACCCAGCTTAATAACTCACTCTATGAGTTGCATTTATATGTTAATGATAAAAAGCAAGATTCCCTTGGATTGACATGTTTTACCACCATCATTTTAATTATTGAATCAAACATTTTTTTTTACTTCTAAATGCTGTTTAATTTTCTGTTTGACCTGTTTTGCACAGAGGCCACATGGACATTTTTATTAAATTACAAGGTTCACAAAGACCTTTCATTGAATTTTCTTGACCCCATTCGACAGGTTAATTAAGAATAACTCTGAGTTTAAGCACTATACAACTTAGCCTCTACTCTAATGTTCAAAGCTAATTAAAATTGTTTCTGTCTTTATTTTCTTAATTTCCCAACTTTCCAGTCAGAACATTTTTCTTGGCTCTGAGCCATTTCTAAGAAAGCATTGTGAGACAGGATCTCTGCAGGAGAAAAGCTGTTTGAGGAAAGTCTGTAGACCATGTAATAGGGAAATGTACAGAAGTTGAACATTAAATCATGAATATTTAATTTCCCCTGAAGCTGATACAGAGAGAAAATGGAATAGAAAGGTTCAGGTGTCTTTTCAAAGCAACAAACTAAACTAAATCTACATTGGATTATAAACCTCCGTCACAGTAAGTGATACAGTGCATTCTAAAATATCAGTTCCCCCTAGAAATGTTTTTAAAGTTTGACTCGTAACAATCACACGTTTTGTTGTAAAGGAATGCAAATAAATTCACAAGTTGTATAAGGAAAATAACTTATGCGTTTAATTTTTACTTGTAGAAGTAGGTATCTAAAAGATGTGGCATAAGCAAGTACCTAGAAACCCTGAATAATACTTTGTAGAATCAACTTATGCAACAATTAGAGTCGTTTCCAGTATGTGATCATATTGAGGTATGTTATCCCAAGATAATTCCTGGTTGTTTATTCTGCTGCTTTGTCTCGGTTCCTTCATTACACACTTCAGTTACCGTGAGAGGGAGAAAAAAAAACAGATTTAGTTACATGCTGAAGGGTGGCT